CCAAGATCAGCATGCGGTCTCGCTGCAAGAGCGGAACTAGGGAGGTTTCCCATTCAAGTAGAAGCCTCTCTAAATGCTATCAAACACCTCATTAGACTTCGCCAGAAAGTGCCTGTCGACAGTTTCCAGTTCGATGCTCTATCCTGTCAGATAGCCTTAGACAAAACTGGAGCCAAATGTTGGGCCTCAGGAGTTCGGAAGTCCTTAGAGGAGTGTGGTTTTGGTTATATCTGGCATTGTACTTTATCACAAAACACAGATACGTCCCATATTATTAATTCCATCAACCAACGTCTGAAAGACATCCATTTCCAAACTTTTCTAAAAGAAATACACAATGATAACAAAGGCGGAGCTGCTAGAAACAAATTGAGATCGTACAGACTGTTCAAGACAACGTATAATGGAGAAAAGTATCTAAATCTCGACAATACACGGCATAGGACCGCCACTACAAAACTCAGGATAAGCTGCCACAAATTACACATTGAAACCGGACGCCATAACCGCACTCCCCTGGAACAACGAATATGTAGGTATTGTAATCTAAATAGGATAGAGGATGAGGAACACTTTGTATTAGAATGTAGTTTATACAACGAAGAGAGAGCAGAGCTTTATAAACTATTGCAATGTATGTTTCCCCATTTCATACATCTTAGCAACGCAGATAAGTTCATATTTCTGATGATTTTAGACAAACCTTCGATTATAAAACATATCTGTACTTATATCTACATCATTACTAAGAAGCGAGAAGAAACCAAATTATCGTAATTATCACTGCTCGAAAACCCACGTTTCCAAGAGTTTCCCGGCCCGCACACACCCGTGAAATTCGCCGTGTCCTGGTCGCGTCCATGGATTTCCGGGCTCTGCGTGTACGGCCCCGGATATTTCCTTACACTCCCGGATTCGTGCTCGCCGTGCGTGTGCACGGAAATTTACGCCCCGCACACTTGGCGTGTGTTGGGGAGCGGCTAACAATAAGGGGTAATTAGGTACTGCGTGTATTCATGTTTCAGGTGATAATTACTTGAACCAAAGTTGCCATTACTTGAATCTAAGCAAATTAGCATGATCAAGGAGGTTTAATACAACATTTAAACCTATGCCTCCGTGACTTGATTTATCGTGATCTCTTTCATACGACCATGAAGTTAGAAGGTGATACAACAAAAAACATCTGCTACTAGTATACTATCGATTTTAGTCACCTCAATGGAAA